GCAGGTGCAACGCTTGAATGACTCTACTATTGCTCAACAACTTCTTGAACTGATGTTGCTGGGTGGCAACATTCTAGGAAACATTTGTGGTAATAAATTGTGTATCTCTTTTAAGAGGATGAAGTTTCTTTTTGGAAATAGTTAAGATTCACCCAGGAACAAATCAGGTTAATGAAATGGGTGATTAAGCTGGTTGATACCATCTGGATGTCATAAATGAATTATCTCACAACGTAGCAAAATTGTGTCTATGTGTGACTCCTTGAAGGTAATTCCAAAAGAAGAGATCTATAAGTGTTTGATCAATACGTGTGTTTTAGTAAGAATTCTATGACTCCATGGTACAGAGAGGATGATTATTTTGAAGGTCACTTTTCATTTGGATTTTTAAGTTCTGGTACACTCATTGAGAATGTCCGTTTCTTTGCTGACTTGGTAAAGAAAATGGATTACAACTAACAGAGTACCATATGAAACAGAAGTTATTTTCTCTCAGTCTACAGGACTGGGCTGGTGAGGTGGCTCCACGGAGTCCTTAGGAACTCACATCCTTCCAGCTCATTGCACTACCATCCCTGGGACATGGCCGCCCTCATCCTCATGTTGCAAGACACGTTCTGACCATCACATCCATGTTCAGGGAGCAACATGGAGTAAGGGAATAAAAATGGACACACAGTGCTAGAAGTCTAGCAATCCCTGGAGGGAGGCTTCTAGAAGCTGTCCTGTGATGGCTCCACTCATATCACGTTGGCCAGAACCTTATCACATGGTTCTCTGAAAAGGAGGCAAGGAAATGTAGTTTTTAACTCAGGCGGCCATGTGTTCTGCTAAAAGCAAGGATCCTATTACAATGGAAGCATACAAGGGGCTGACCTTAGGGTTGACAGCTAGTAACCTATGCCACAATTCCCTCTTTTTATTTTTTTGAGATGGAGTCTCACTCTGTCACTCTGTCACCCAGGTTGGAGTGCAGTGGCTCAATCTCGGCTCACTGCAACCTCCGCCTCCCAGGTTCAAGCAATTCACCTACCTCAGCCTCCCGACTAGCTGGGATTACAGGTATGCACCACCATGCCTGACTAATTTTATTTTGTATTTTTAGTAGAGACAGGGTTTCACCATGTTGGCCAGGCTGGTCTTGAACTCCTGATCTTAGGTGATCCACCAACCTTGGTCTCCCAAAGTGCTGGGATTACAGGCGTGAACCATCGCGCCCCACAATTCCCTGTACTCATATCCGACATTTGGGTGAACTTGAAGGATACAATGATATTACTTGCCACAAAATCCTCTTAACAGATAATAATTTTAGTTCTATTTATAAATTGTTTCATAAACACAGAACAAGAAATGGCACCATTAGCATTTATGTAGATATTTTATTTAATTCTCCTAACATTTAATTTATGCTTATGTAATTCTATATAAGTAGTACCTATTTAATAGGTACTACTATCCTCAGTTTACAAATGAGCAGATTTAGAGGCTAGCCAGGGAACACCCACCTCCAGAGCCTGGGTTCTTAACCACATTATTATTCCCTAATAAGGAAAACATCTTTTTTTTTTTTTTTAAGACCAAGTCTTACTCTGTCACCCAAGCTGGAGTGCAGTGGCACAATCTTGGCTCATCGCAGCCTCCACCTCCTGGGTTCAAGCAATTCTCCTCCCTCAGCCTCCCGAGTAGCTGGGACCACAGGCACGCACCACCAAGCCCGGCTAATTTTTGTATTTTTTTTTTTTTTAGTAGAGTTGGGGTTTCACCACGTAGATCAGGCTGGTCTCGAACTCCTGACCGCAAGTGATCCTCTTGTCCTGACCTCCCAAAGTGTTGGGATTACAGACTGAGGCACCATGCCCAGCCACATCTTGATTTTCTACTGGAACTCTGGAACCCAAACGTTAGTAGAATGAAGAACGGAGGAATGCTAGAACTGTTTATTTACCAAAACAGAAGTGCCTACTATAAGAAGGAGCCCTTCGATTGGATTAATTTGTTAACTCGATGAAAATCCTCCCAAGATGAAGTGCAGCCTGGCCATGCCATCCAGAACCTATCCTGTCACTCCACTGCCGATGACTAACTCCCCTCATTCCAGCAGTGTGGACCCAGAGGGGAAGGGAAGAAAGGAAGGAGGGAAGAGAGGAGAGAGGGAAGGAAAGGAGAAAGAACAGGCAGGGAGGAGAAGGGAGGATAGGAGAGAGGAGAGGAGGTAAGTTTCTATGGCTGGACCAGTTTCATTGTCAACCCAGCCTGGGGCTCCCTGTTGGGAAAACCAGCTTAGGGATGTCTAAATATTCCTGACACTAGAGAGTCACACAGCTCTTGCTTTTGGAATGAAATGTTCTCTCCAAGCACTCGGGTGAACCTTCAGTAGGAAGAGGAAAAAGAATCGTATTCTCTTGCCTGTTTTTTTCAACAGAACATGATGAAAGAGATTTTAGTACCGAAAATGACTAGTGGCTGAGGATTGCCTTTTGGTCTGACAAAACTTAAACTCCACTTATCTGAAGACACTGTGTTCTGTGAAACCTGTCATCTTATTTCTTGCTCAATATCTGGGGATGACGACAAGGACTCAGACAAGTGTCAGTCTGGGAGAAGGGGGCTCTCAGGTGCTGAGTTTGAAGCTATTCCTTTAGATCCCTGGTAGAACTTACCTAGGTGCTATAAGACCTCAAACCCTGCACTATTTTTAGGAAGGAAAAAGAACATTAGTGTCTGCAGAAACCTAAAATATCCCTACAGAATAAAACTTCCAACCACATTTTCTGACAGCATATGTAACTCTTACACTGTAAGGGTTGTAAAATAGATTGTGACTCTTGGGGAGTGTAGGACAATGTGCAGGGAGTGGGCAAGGAAGGCTAAGAGAGTCAAAAGCTTCTTTCAAAAGTCCTTAAGCTGGCCGGGCGCAGTGGCTCACACCTGTAATCCCAGCACTTTGGGAGGCTGAGGCGGATGGATCACGAGGTCAGGAGATCGAGACCACCCTGGCCAACATGGTAAAACCCCATCTCTACTAAAAATACAAAAGTTAGCTGGGCGTGGTGGTGCGTGTCTGTAATCCTACTCGGGAGGCTGAGGTAGGAGAATCACTTGAACCCAGGAGGCGGAGGTTGCAGTGAGCCGAGATGGTGCCACTGCACTCCAGCCTGGTGACAGAGCAAGACTCTGTCTCAATAAAATAAAATAAAAATTCCTTTTAAATTTAGGACACACAGTCCAATCTCATTTCCCTTTCCCCAGGAATCCAGAGGTGCCCTTAAAAAGTTCACTGTTCTAGGGGACGGCATCAGCTCCTCAGCTCAGAGACAGAGAGGAGCGACGTGAGAGCCAGCCTGGCGGTCTTTGCTGTCCCTGCCCCGACGGAGTGTAAATGCCAAGTTGCTGAAGATTACAAGGCAGTAGATGCTCATGATTCTTTTGCAAGTACCCATGCCTTTTCATTATACCCTGTTTTGAGGGGGATTTTTTATTTTTCCCCCCGAGACAGTGTGTCGCTCTGTGGCCCAGGCTGGAGCACAGTGGCGTGATCATAGCTCACTTCAGCCTTGAACTCCTGGCCTCAAGTGATCCTCCAGTCCCAGCCTCATGAAGGGGTAGGACTATAGGCATACACCACCATGCCCAGGTAATTAAAAAAAATTTTTTTTCTAGACATGGGGTCTTGCTCTGTTGCCCAGGCTGGTCTCAAACTCCTGGACTCAAGTGATCCACCTCCCACCTTGGCGTCCCAAAGTGCTGGGATTATAGGCATGGGCCACTGTGCCCAGCCCATTATACCCTGTTTTTAATGTTAAATTTTAGGGTCCGAGGTCACCTCTTATGAATCCTCAGTTTTTCCTTCTATCTCTCAGGGGTTGTGGATGGCAGAGATGACACCCTTTGCTCAAGTACCAATCTTCACCCCAGAGCCTCCACCTCCGCCTCTGTGTACATTACTCTCACTCTATTCATTCTTTCAGTGGTTTGTGCATTCTCTTACTCATTTACTGACAGCGTTAGTGCTGGAAGCACTGCAGAAGTTCAGAGGAGGAGGAGGGTGGGGGAGTTAGCAGTTTCTCATGTGCTGGTTTAGCCCCCTCTGAATCCTGAACAGTCCCTCACAAAAGGTGCTCAGTGAATTCTCTTTAGGTTATCATCCGCAAGTAGCCCTTTTTGGTGACACACGTAGGTGTCTAGAATATCCCATCTTGTGGCATTTGGCATTATGCAGTTGGTCTGGGATGAGACACTCGCAGACCCGAATTACGGGCCGGACTGCCCACAGCCACAGACAACCACCAAGAAAAACTGTGGTGCTGGAAAGTAGTTCCATAGCAACTGGCCTAACGTTCCCAAACCGGAGTCTGGAGAAGGGGAAAGGCCCCTCCTGGTCTGCCAGGTTCTTCTACCCAGGGCCCCAGGCAGGCTAACTGTGTTTCCCGGTTTCCTTTTCCCCCTTCAGCCTCAGGCCACAAATCCAGCCATCGCACTGGTGGCAAAAGTGCTTTCTCCTTCCTGCCACAGCCCCTGAGATGAGACTTTCTGCCTGAGAGAGGGACTCGCTATTTCCACCTCGCCAACGCAGGCATGAGCAGACCTAGGCTAACTCCTGTAGAGCGGAAAGGGCCTCTCCGCCAGCGCGCTGCAGCCCAGCGCGCATCCTTCTTAGAGTATCAACTCTTGGGGTCTCTGAAGCTGTTCCACCAACAGCCCCTGGTAGGCGCTAGATCCCTCCCGGGGGCCCAGGAGTCCTTCCTAATACTCGGAGCTGCCCACAGCCCTCTCCTCTCCCTCCCATCCTTCAGACCTGTTCCTCTGAGCACCACTAGGAGCTGGGCAAGCAGATGCGTGGGGTTGGGCGGGGGGCGGAGTGGGGGGAGGAAGCACACAATTCCGTTCAATGTTTCCTCTTAACAGACAATCACCCTAAACAGACTCCGTGGCCAGCTGCCCTGAGGGGAAAAACAAACAAACAAACAAACAAAAAAAAAAAAAAAAAAAAACGCTTCTTGGCTTCTCTGTTCTTTCCCAAAGTGATTGTTAATGGGAGATCTTCCTCATGGTAACAGCTGAGAGGCTGGAGGACAACTGAAACTCAGGGCCCTCATTCCACAATACCCCGGGACTCCTTACTGCCCCCCAGTGTTGCTTTATGTCAACACCAACCCAGCGCTGAGATGCATCTTCTCCTCCCGCAGATTCCATCGTGATCGCCTTCTGGGTGAGCCTGGCTGCCTTCGTGCTGCTCCTCTTCCTCATCCTGCTTTACATGTCCTGGTCGGGCTCCCCGCAGATGAAGTGAGTAACAAGGGGTGTGGGTCTCTGGGTCACTCAGACGCTCTCCAGTGAGTAATGGTGCAGGTCGAGTATCCCTCATCCAAAATCCTGGAGACCAGAGGTGTTTCAGATTTGGGATTTTAAAATATTTGCATTGTACCTACCAGCCGAGCATCTCAAATCCAGAAATCTGAAATATTCCAGCGAGCATTTCCTTTGAGCCTCATGTCAGTGCTCAATACGTTTCAGATTTTGCAGCGTTTCAGAGTTTCGGATTTGGGATGCTCAACTTACGTCCCTACAATGGAATAGTATTCAGCAATAAAAAGGGACGGAGTTCTGATCCATACTGCAACATGGACGAACCTCAAAAACATCATGCTAAGTGAAAAAAGACAGACACAGAGCTGCATGTCGTATGACTCCTTTCACACAAAACATCCAGAGTAGGCAGATCGAGAGACAGAAAGCAGATTAGCAGCTGCCTAGGGCTGTGGGGAGAGCAGGGAAGGGGGAACGACTGCTGATGGGTTTCTTTTGGGGATGATAAAAATGTTCTAAAATTAAGCTGGGCATGGTGGCTCATGCCTTGTAATCCCAGCACTTTGGGAGGCCAAGGTTGGTGGATCACTTGAGGTCAGGAGTTCAAGACCAGCCTAGCCCACTTGGTGAAATCCTGTCTCTACTAAAAATACAAAAATTAGCTGGGCGTGGTGGTGCGCACTTGTAATCCCAGCTACTCAGGAGGCTGAGGCAGGAGGATCGCTGGAACCCAGGAGGCAGAAAGGTTGCAGTGAGCCGAGATTGCGCCACTATACTCCAGTCTGGGCAACAGAGTGAGACTCCATCTCAAAAAAAAAAAAAGTTCTAAAATTAAGCCAGGCACAGTGGCTCACACCTGTAGTCCCAGCACCTTGGGAAGCCAAGGCAGGAGGATCGTTTGAGCCCAGGAGTTGGAGACCTTGTCTTCACAAAAAATATTAAAAAATTAGCTGGGCATGGCAGTGTGCACCTGTAGTCCTGGCTACTTGGGAGGCTGAGGCAGGAGGATCACTAGAGCCCAGAAGGTCAAGGCTGCAGTGAGCTGTGATCATGCCACTGCACTCTAGCCTGGGTGATAGAGCAAGACCCTGTCTCAACAAAACAAACAAACAAAAAGTTCTAAAATTAGATTGTGGTGATGGTTGCACAACTCTGTGGATGTACTAAAGACCACTGAATTGTACTCTTTAAATGAGTCAACCTCATGGAATGAAAATATATCTCAGTAAAGCTGTTAAAGAAAATGAAGCCAACTTGACACCATGGGCATTAAGTCTTGCTGGCCAGCTCACCAGGAGCATAAGAATCTTACCTTTGGCCAGGCGTGGGGGCTCACACCTGTAATCCCCGCACTTTGGGAGGCCAAGGTGGGCGGATGGCCTGAGGTCAGGTGTTTGAGACCAGCCTGGCCAACATGGTGAAACCCCATCTCTACTGAAAATATTAAAAAAATAAAATAAAAAATAGCTGGGTGTGGTGGTGCATGCCTGTAATCCCAGCTACTCACGAGGCTGAGGTAGGACAATCTCTTGAACCCAGGAGGCGGAGGTTGCAGTGAACCGAGATCGCGCCACTGCACTCCAGCCTGGGCAAGAAGAGTGAAACTCTGTCTCCAAAAAAAAAAAAAAAGAAAAAAGAAAAAAGAAAAAAGAAAAAGAAAGATCCTTACCTTAGGTACCTATGGCCAGCATCTGTTATTGGATGCCTGCTGTGTGCCACTAAATTGGAGGTGAAATCCAGTTTTAAGGAGTAATTGGAACCCAGCTTGTTTTATGTTTTATGTTAATTCTGTTGTGCTAGAGGATTGGCTGCCACATCCCATGTTCCCTTCTAGGCTAATCAGCCCTCACAGCTGCTGGTCTCCTAATGACTGTTCTTAGGAGGCACCCTGTATTTTGCCATCGCTTATGCAAAGAGGGCCTGTGCAGTGGCTGGCCCATGCCCTTGGATACGTGTGGCCTGGCAAAAGAGCTGGGACCAGTCAGATTCTTGTCTTTGGAATTTGGAATCTAGACTCTGAGGGATGGACCTGGTGTCTATGGGGCTGCACTGATTGGTCCAGGAGGAGGGCTAGGGCTGGTGCCATTATGGACTGTTACGTCCATTACAGACGGAAGTCTTGGGGACTGGAAACCCTCAGTGTAGGAAGCTGGTCAGCAGAGAGATGAGCTGAACTGTGCTGAGGAAGAGCTGAGTGGCCTTGGACCCCCTGAGCCAAAGTATCCCACACCAGGTCCCACGAGGAGCCATGGACTTGCGCATTCGCACAGCATCTTAGTGTTTTCTGTTGCTGTAACAGAATACCTGAGGTTGAGTAATTTATGAAGAAAAGAGGCTTATTTAGCTCATGGTTCTGAAGGCTTAGAAGTCTAGGAAGCCCATCGACATCTGCTCAGCTTCTGGTGAGGGCCTCGTTTTGCAAAAAGATCTAATTCAGTCTAGAGAAAAAAACTCATTACCCCTTAAAGGCTCCACCTCCCAGTGTTGCCACACTGGGGACCAGGCCTTCACATGAGTTTTGGTGGGGACACATCACACCACAGCCCAGCGTTACCTCGAAGGGGCCTCTGATTCTCCTCCCCGCCCCGCCTGCCCTGCCCGCGGTGTCTCACCCACCAGGGCTACCCTCGCCAGGCCATTTCTGCTCACCTTGGTCACATATGGAAGGTAGCTTTACAGCAATGAAGAAATTCATTCTATTTTTTTTTTTTTTTTTGAGATGAAAGTCTCGCTCTGTCACCCAGGCTGGAGTGCAGTGGCGTGATCTCGGCTCACTGCAACCTCCGCCTCCCACGTTCAAGCTATTCTCTTGCCTTAGCCTCCTGAGTAGCTGGGATTACAGGCACCCACCATGACGCCCAGTCGATTTTTGTATTTTTTAGCAGAGATGGGGTTTCGCCAAGTTGGCCAGGCCAGTCTCAAACTCCAGACCTGTAATCCTAGCACTTTGGGAGGCTGAGGTGCGTGGATCACCTGAGGTCAGGAGTTCGAGAATGGCCCGGCCAACTTGGCGAAACCCGATTTCTATTAAAAATACAAAAATTAGCTGGGCATCGTGGCTGGTGCCTATCATCCCAGCTACACGGGGAGGCTGAGACAAGAGAATCGCTTGAACCTGGGAGGCAGAGGTTGCAGTGAGCCGAGATGGCGCCACTGAGGTCAGGAGCCACCTGACCTGAAATCTGTTCTTCTCTTTCAGTTTTTAGAACTCACATTCAATTTAAGCACATTTTTACACCCGAGACACATCTGAGGGACAAACGAGTGATGTCACCTTTCTTTTCTACTCTTCTGAGATGACCTGCAGCCACCCTGGGCCAGGGAGTGTGCAAGGATCGTCATTAATCCTCCTGGTACAAAGTTCCCTGGCCTGGTCCGGCAAGCCCAGAGGCTGCCTCCACCGTGCCCAGCTCCCTGGGGGGCACAGGCCTTCTGGGCTGTTTCACAGGGGCAAACTGATGACGCTGTACATCCTGACCAGCTACAGGGCTTACTAAAGAAAATGCTCTCAAGGCACTTGGTAACATTCCTGGAATGCTCAGGGCAGCAAAGTGGATCCTTAGCAAGATTTAGGAGTCACTCCATGAGGAGCTGACCTTCCCATGAGGAAGGGGAGGAGGGCATTCTTGGGTGAGTGCCATCTGAAAGGACGGCCTCTGCCCAGTGGGCTCATCACTTGGTACTCTTCATTCATGCCAGCGTTGTAACCACGCTTAAAGTCGTTTTATACGTCACCTCATTTCATCCTGAGGATATCTGTGAGCCAATACTGTCCCATTTTACAGATGACGTCAAAGGCAGCTGGGAAGTGGTGGCCAGAGCTCACTCCAGATGGCCATGTCCACTGCCCCAGCACTTTCTGGGCAGGAGAATCCACCCAGGGAGGATGCTTTTCTTTCTTCTCTTTTTTCTTTTCTTTTCTTTTCTTTTCTTTTTTTTGAGACAGAGTCTCGCTCTCTTGCCAGGCTGGGGTGCAGTGGCGCAATCTCGGCTCACTGCAACCCGACACCTTGGTTCAAGTGATTCTCCTGCCTCAGCCTTCCGAGTACTGGGATTACAGGCACGTGCCACCACGCCCAGCTAATTTTTGTATTTTTAGTAGAGACGGGGTTTCCCTGTGTTGGCCAGGATGGTCTCAATCTCCTGACCTCGTGATCTGCCTGCCTCTGCCTCCCCAAGTGCTAGGATGACAGGTGTGAGCCACCATGCCTGGCACAGGGAGGACGCATTTCTAGCCAAGTGTATTAGTTTGTTCTCAGCTGCTAATAAAGACATATCCGAGGCTGGGTAATTTATAAAGGAAAGAGGTTTAATGGACTCACAGTTCCACATGGCTGGGAAGGCCTCACAATCATGGAAGAAGGCAAAGGAAGAGCAAAGCCACATCTTACATGGCACAGGCAAAAGGGCATGTGCAGGGAAACTCCCCTTTACAAAACCATCAGATCTCGTGAGACTTATTCACTATCACGAGAACAGCATGGGAAGACCCGCCCCTGTGATTCAATTACCTCCCACTGGGTCCTTCCCACGACCCGTAGGGATTATTACAATTCAAGGTGAGAGTTGTGTGGTGACACAGCCAAACCATATCACCAAGATACAAGCTGGCTTGGGCTACGGATATAAAATGAGGTACACTCAGATACAGGGCTGGATGGGAGGTCAACCTGCTCCTCCAACGCCCCCATCCCCTCCATCCTAAATCAATGTAGGAAGAAGTGGCCTCCAGGAAAAGACCTGAGGCCTAGTTCCTGACAAAGCACCTCCTCTCTTTTGAGATCTCTCTACAATGGCCACCTTGGTGAGCTGGCTGACCCTTCTCAGGAATTTGCCTGTGTGGCCTTCCCTATGGGGTCTGGGCAGATGGCAGGTGTGGCAGGAAACCCCCAAGCCCCACAGTACGGACTGTTCTGCAACTTTGACGCTTGCCTCCCACTCCGCTCTGTTCACAGGAACAGCCCCAAGCACCACCAAACATGCCCCTGGAGTCACAGCCTCAGCCTCCAGCTCTGCATCCAGAAGTGCCTGCCGTGCCACAGGGAACCCCTGGGGACCTCACGGGCTCAGGCGCATTCAGTGGAGCCAGGGAGCAGAACTGACCCTGACCAGCTGCTACGACAGGAGAGCTCCTCCACCTTGCCCCTTGGGGTTTTCCAGACCCACCCCACTCTCCTCTGGGAACTGACCCTCAGTGGGGGTCCCCTCGTCAGAAGCAAGCCCAGCGAGCCTCCTCCTGGAGACAGGACCTCTCAATTGCAGAGCTGATGTCAGCAGATCGTGGCCATAGCTGAGTGAACTGGTGAAATCAAGCCAACCTGGACACCTCCGTTCTTTGTTCTTCTTAGAGGCTGTCTGCATGTAGCGGAAAGGGCACCTAGGTCAAGTGTGACTAGAGCAGGAGCATCCTATGCCTTTGACAAAGATTGCAGTGATCCCTCGAGGGCAGAGGTCATCCCAGGTGTTGCTGATTTTATTGAGCACACTTGGCCCGCTTGCTTATGGCTTGTTTGCTTAGGGAAGAGTAGGAAAATAAAATATATGTAAATCCAGAGGAAAACCTGTTTGCTTACTATGCCACTTTACCATTACTGTGTAATGTGTTATCAGCCCTGAGTTCACCTGGTCCTTCTGTACCTTTGTTAGGATGCTGGGTAAGTTCCCATCCAAGCTCCACTGACACCCTCCGGCTCCCCCAGATGTGATGGCATCTGCCCTGCCAGGTCAGCTCGCTGCAGTCAGGGGGCCTGAGTCTCACCTTCAGCCTCCCCACAGCCTTTCAAAGACAGAGCCCAAGGAAGTCTCTCCCCTGGAGGGCAGGCAGCCAGCGCCTGTCAGCAGCCAGGCCCGGTAAGCAGGGCCTATGCCCAAACGCTGTCACAGAACACAAAGAGCCCTGGAAAGGTCTCCTTCTGGATGTGACTTTATGTGACAGTGGATCTGGGACCCTTGAAGGATCCAGTCCTCTAGTGCCCAGCAGCCTTGTTCCTGGAGAGGAGACAGCATCACACTGCAAATCCCAGAAGAGCCATGTGTCCCCTACAGCTTTCCGGCAGCAAGTTGGTAGGTTTTATTTTTAAAATAACTGCCCCCACCCCACTTATTTCTAATTTAGCACTTTATATTTTAAGTCAGGTGAAGACCATGTACCATCTATTCTCCATGGGATGAGATTCCCTTCCTCCACGCTAAGTGACTGGAAAATACATGGACAAGGTCAGGGCAGTGGATTGAGAAGGGAGAACAAAGACAAGCAGGACTGATGAGCTCCAGAGATGCAGAAAAGAAGGTGAGGTGCTGAAAATGTGTCCTCACTTGACTGAGCTGAACTCGGCTTTGGAGCACTTGTTGCCACCTGACGTAGCATGTATTTGACTTGCTGGGCCCTAAGAACCTGGGAGGCAGCTAGGCCTGGAGCCGGGGATGAAGCTGTGGAAATCCATCCCACCTGCTCGATGCCCCTCCCCACGCCCCCAGAGGCATGGGGTTCAGGGATATTCCCCAGACCAGTGTCCTTCCAGCCAATGCCCTCTGCATGAACGAGCAGAGGTGCCTATAACCAAAGGAATCCCCATCGACAGGCCTCGGAGAGGGGGATAAAGATTAAAGGGAACCAGGAAGAGAATGTTCTGCTGGAGCAGTGCTTGCCTGAGTCCAACTTGGATCTAAACATCGGATTTCAACTTCAGGACAGTCTCAAATAACAGCGTTGTAAGGTTTATTTGGGTAGGAAAGGGGGACAAGTGAGGTAACTGATCCTTGCTTTGTAGACAATGCAAGACAATTATTTGTGGTGAAGGGACTGTATGCCAACAAGTGTTACTCATGCTTTAGTTAAAACTTTAAGTCACCTAAAACAAACAATTCTAAAGAACACTGGTAGAAAATAGGGGCCGGGCACGGTGGCTCAAGCCTGTAATCCTAGCACTTTGGGAGGCCAAGACGGGTGGATCATGAGGTCAGGAGATCAAGACCATCCTGGCTAACACGGTGAAACCCCGTCTCTACTAAAAAATACAAAAAAAACAAAAACAACAAAAACCCAAAAAACTAGCCGGGTGCAGTGGCGGGCGCCTGTAGTCCCAGCTACTCGGGAGGCTGAGGCAGGAGAATGGTGTAAACCCGGGAGGCGGGGCTTGCAGTGAGCTGAGATCCGGCCACTGCACTCCAGCCTGGGTAACAGAGCGAGACTCCGTCTCAAAAAAAATAAAAAAGAAAAAGAAAATAAAAGTGTAAATGTTTCAGACAAAACCAAGGCATTGTCAGCGTGATGTACGTTATATGGCAAATAAAACAGACACGTCCTAGGCCACAGAGCAGACCCCAAGAATGCAGGAGAGTTTTAAAGGAACAGACAGAAATTTTAACTGCGAAAACCACGAAATTTCATGACTGTCAGCTACAACAGCAACGAATATATGACCATTAATAGTAAAGTTCTGACCTTTAAAATAAATGCAGGCCTACGTGGAACAAAACTAGCCTCTTTAACAATGAAAGGAAAACACAAAAACCTTACAAAAATAGACATTTATTAATAAGCATTTATAAAATTCAAAATCCCCTCTTTGAAGTATAACTTTAAAAATTACAGGCTGTCTTCTCAAAGCAGAGGTCAAATCACTTTTACACTTTAAGGATTCAGTGCAACATCTTTTATTTAATAAAATAATTAACAAACATTGGCAGAAATTAACATTCAAAAAGTCATACTAAACTTTGTTATGACTTTTTATAGAAAAATAAACTTTATTTATTTTTTTGAGATGGAGTCTTGCTCTGTCGCCTAGGTTGGAGTGCAGTGGCACAATCTCGGCTCACTGCAGCCTCCACCTCCCAGTTTCAAGCGATTCCCCTGCCTTAGCCTCCCGAGTAGCTGGAATTTCAGGCGTGCACCACCACGTCCAGCTAATTTTTGTATTTTTAGTAGGGATGGGGTTTCACCATGTTGGGAAGGCTGGTCTTGAACTCCTGACCTCAGGTTATCCACCTGCCTTGGCCTCCCAAAGTGCTGGGATTAGAGGCATGAGCCACCTCACCCAGCTGAAAAATAAAATTTAAACATATCTCTTCGTTTTTATAAAAAAAAAACCTGATACCTTTTGACATTTCAGCTTTAACACACATGAATCTCTTCTGCATTCAGAAGTGCCTCAAACTTGAGCTATTTCCTGTGACGAGCTCCAAGCCCCTAGAGAGGAAGGGGCTGGCCTGGCCTGACGAGGCAATGGATGGGCCTCATGGCCTGGAAGTCCCCACATTCCCTGCAACTCTGATGCGGGGCACACACAGGCCCGAGTTTATCATTTACTGGCCTGTTCAATCAAGTCCTCTCGACTTTTCTTGTCAGAGAACTGAGTCAATGTACTGAACTTGTTGTTTCCCACACCTTCTCCGGAAACCCTTGACTCAACCAAACTTCTTGAGGCTCTGGTCATCAGGGCGCAAGGCGCTGGCCGGCAGGAGTCAAGCATCTGAGGCTGCACTGGCGACATCCTTGCAGAGCACCACGATGGCCTCCTCTTCACTGCTCGGAGCATCATCTGCGGCCTCACACACCATCCGGATGTGGGCTAAGAGGGTGTCAGGCCGCTGGGCCCCCAGCCAGATGTCCTTTATGTAGAGAGACACCAGGAATGCTGCGGAGGCTGAACAAGAGCAGGGGATAGGCCGTCAGGATGTACACCTGCTCAGCTCGAAAACAGGTCATCCTGCCCACAACGCAATGGCTTTGCCAAGTGCCCAAATAAACCGTGCCACAGGCCTGTGCAACCCAAGGTGAGCTGACGGATACAACAACTCATTCTGCCTTTGCTTAACTTTTGTGTTAATCTTTTTTACTACAAAATTTTTTCTTTCTTTCTTTTTTTTTTTTTTAAGAAAAAGACAGGGTCTCATTCTGTCACCCAGACTGGAATGCAGTAGCGTGATCTCAGCTCACTGCAACCTCGACGGCCTGGGCTCAAGTGATCCTCCCACCTCAGCCTCCAGAGTGGCTGGGACTACAGGCATGTGCCACCACGCCCAGCTAATTTTTGTAGAGACAGGGTTTCACTATGTTGGCCAGGCTGGTCTCAAGCGGTCTCCCCACCTCAGCTTCCCAAAGTGCTAGGATTATAGGTGTGAGCCACTGTGCCTGGCAAAATTTACTTTCTTCTGATGAATATGTGTGGATCCCCTCAAAAAGCTGTTACAAGACAAGTCTCAGTCTGGTTCTGACCGTCCATGCCAAGAATGAGACTGAAGTTTGAGAAGAACCTCCCAGAATCATTTCCTACCATTTCCTCAGTGGCACGGGTAAGGAGGAAGAGAAAGCTTTGCAGGCAAAACGGCCCAACTCCCCAACTGCGGCCAGACCAGAGGGTGAGGTCGCCCCTGCTACCAGGTGAGTCCACCCGCTAGGCTGCTGGCCCCTCCCTCCCCTGCACCCCCACATTCCTCCGTGAAAGGACAGCCCTCCGGGTTACCACACGCACCTCCCTGGAGCTCTAACGGCCCCCTGGAGCCTGTGCTACTCATTCACACTGCTAGGCTCCTACCTAGTGACTGCCAAGTACACAGACTGCACATGGGCACATTTGTACGCATGTGAAGCTACATGCGCACACACACGCACACACGCAGCTGGCCACACGTGAGACAGAACTCGTCACATGGCTAATGGTCGGAAACCGACTGCCCCGCGGGGTGAAGGGATGCCAAGGTTCTGCAGTGCCATCTCTGCACCGTAAACATAACCAGCACCAAAGGTTTCCCCTGCAAGCGAAGACAAAGACTTCCTTCCCTTCACATTCATTGCCCAGTGGCAAGTTCTCTACAACCCCAGAACCGTAAGAGGCCACCTAAACAGGCACAATAGCCAGCTGAGGAAGTCGGCAGAAACCTAAGCGTTCCAAGCACAGAAGTCACTCCTGCCCCAGACCCACTTCTGCATCCATTTCTTCAGCCTCCAACGAAAAAACCAGCCTTACCTCGTGTGGCTTCGTCCTTCTCACTCAGAGAAGACAGGCAGAGAGCTTCCATGGCCGGGTGGAAGGGGCTCCCTGCCTGGCCCTGGGCGGCCACCAGCTGCAGCATGACCAGATTGAACAGGCAGGCCACCTCCTGCGCAGGCCCCGCCAGCCCCTCGGCCCCACAGAGCCGGCTATACAGCTTGAATATGCTGCTCCTCACGGCACCGTCCTTAAGGAGGTCAGCCACGACCACAGGGTGTGGCAAAATGTGGCTCTTAAGCCAGCCAACCAGTCCTGCAGCCTCTGCCCTGCTGAGCGGGTGCTCGGCCACCGACCGCAGCACCCAACTGACTGCCAGGGAAGCGGCGGCATACATGGGGCCTGGTGCATTGCTCTCGGGGCTGGCTGAGTCCACAGGCTCCTGAGTGGGGTCAGGAACAGGGATCACTGGTCCCCAGTAGGTCAAGATGGACCTCAGGAGGCCCTTGCATGTCTCCAAGGTAGATGCCATCAGCTCAGGGTCGTCCATCTCCTCTGCCTCCTCAAGCCTCCTCTTTCGGCCCCGTGGGCCTTTGGCTCGGGCTGGCATGACAGGCTTGTTTTTATC